AGAAGAGATATAATTCCACTGCTTAATCATTTTAGTTTTGAATATTTTTTAAAGTACAATTTTGGAATATTTACATAAACAATATCTTTTCTAGTTACATTCTTGGCAAGCTAATCAGGTCTCTTGTTTCTATATATCTTTTTGCAGCCATGAACAAATGTAAAAAACATTGAAATACCCTTTTCCAATAGAGAGACTGTTGTACATTAAAAATATCATTACATGCTGAGGTGGTTTTTAGTGAATCCAGTGAAGTGTACTCTAGACACCTCTAGACAGTCTAGATTGTACCTCTAGACAATCTATGGATAAGGAGCATACTGATGAATGCACTGCACTATTATCTTTTAATTCCATTGTTCTCAAGTATTGGGAAGCAGGATCAAGGCTAATGGCTTAGTGGCCAAATGTCTGACATCTGAATAAATAAATAATTTCTTTTACACAATTTCAAATTCCTAGCCATGCATCATATACACTGTATGCCCTAAGATTATGTCCCTCAATTTTATTTAGTGGCAAACTCATTATGATCCAGTCTTTCCCTACATAATCAGATAAAATCACACTGATCCCTCATTATTGAAATAGACTCAGTCATGCCTATCATTGTAAAAGTAGAGGTATAACTAGTGCTGATGTTGAACCTCACACTGATTTACACAAATTGCAGTCTACCTATGATTTAAAAAACAAAGTTAAGGTAATATTACTAAGACATTTTAACACAAAAATTTATAAGAAAGTTATATTAACATCATTTAAGTGAAAAAAATTATATTTCTGGATGTTAAAAGTATTCCTTAATATTACAGTTTAATACATTGATTTTATAACTATTAAAAATTATGATGCCATTACAGGAATGTGCTACAGACACAAACAAGGATTTGTTTACCCCCAAAATGATGAATTCTGTAGTTGTACTCAAGCACTGCTTTAATACAGTTGCTAAAGTATGCACATGCACTTAAGAACACAAAGGTCCATGGTTCAGTGCTTACCAATGGAAATTACAGTGCTCCCGAATCTAATTGCTAAATTGCGTAATCCATGATAAAAAAATTACCAAAACAGCCTCTACCATATATATAGATAGATATTATAAAAATATAATTTATACATATATATATATTGATGTAGCAATTTAACTGAACAGCTGTTCAATTAAATTGCTACACCAATGCCTCATTTTGCGTTAGAGTTAAGACAGAATCACTGAAGTTATTTTCATCACAATTTCAATGCATTATTCTTATGAACAATAAAAAAAAATAGTTTAATCTCAAAATGAGATTGCCCATACTTGTATGTCACCAAAATATTTTATTTCATGTCTCATTTGGGTTATGGCCAAGACAGAGGTACTGAAGTTACCTTCATCACAATTTCACTGCAGTGTTCAAATGCATTATTCTTGTGAACATTTTTAAAAACAATTTAATCTCAAATTTAAAATTTCTTCAGAATTCTTCAAATATCTTCTCACATTGCTATATGTTGCTTGTAAAGTGTATGGGCAAATCAGTAGAAGTCCAAAAGCAGCATTTGTATGGGCAAATGGTACATGGGCAAATGAGGGATGTTTTTAAGACATTAATAACATTTAAACTACACTGAAAACTACAGTCCGTTACTTCACATTTTCTCTTCTTAACAGTCAACTTGTAGAGCCATTAGGATTTTTGATGAGGAGAAAAATGAGCAATGCGCTTGCCAGCACTCGAACCTCAGACCTCTCGAATATGTGCCGAGTATGCTTCCAATTACACCTAGAAAGCGGGTGAAATACCTTACTTTCCCCTTTTAAAGGGCGACTGGGCATTGGGGGGTTCAATCACCAAATCTTGGTGGTGGAGAATCATAATCCATCACCTTTTTTAGTTCAAGCGCCACTGTAGAGACATTAGGATTTTGGATGCGGAGAGATGTGAAAAATGAACAATGGCATCGCTGGAACTCGAACCTCTAAAAGGCGGGAGAAATACCTTATAACCTTACTAAAAAGAGTAAATCTAAACTTATTAATTTCAGCTGAATATTGGTTTTGCCTTTCAAATTCATCCGTAGAAAATAAAATGAAAATTATCATTAAATATTTTATAAAATCATAAGTTATTACTCACCTCACCAAATAAAACATAAATAAAGTCAAAAATTTTAATCTCTTAGATACAGAAAAATATATGTACGAGTGAAGGAGGAAGAGGAAGCTCATCAAAAATGAATGTAGATGAGAGTGAAATTCCATAAAAAAGTATGATGAAATAATAATTGCCAATCTACTTTCTTGATCAAGTTTTCAAATAAAGAAATTTCCGAGATCATGAATTAAAAAAGATTTTCCTGAATTCTGAAATGTGCAGATTGCACTCTTTTTCATATTATGCAGCCATTTGCCTCAAAATTTTCAAACTTTAAGTTGAGTAATTATAGTTTTATGGAATCAAGTTTTTGAAAAGAAAATGTTGTAGAACATGCATTTCCTAATTTAATTATCTTAGTTAAAGCCGTATTCTGCTTACTTCATTCATCAGCAGCAACAGAATAATATTGTCAAGGAATAAGAATGAATTAAGAAATAAATTAAAACTCCTTTGAAGAATGACTTTGAGTTACCTGTGATAAAATGATAGTGATACTGCAAAATACTCTAAAATGAGTAAAACAGAAGCAAACATAAATTTAGTGGTTTTTTATCCAGGATCTAGTATGTCATTTCTTATTAAGTTAGTATGATATATTTTTGTTAGGTGGTCACCCCAGATGGGTTGCTTATCATTTCAAATGCAAATGATTATAAATAACACTGTATTGGCTTTAATACCTCAGTTTTCAAACTGAGATTGCTCAAATCAATTCAGTACAGGCTGCTTCAGTTTCTACTCAACATGTCAAACCCAGCAGTTGTTCTTTGATATTAAACAACCTTTACAGTTGCCTGTGGGTACATGTCTAGGAGGGGTGAAGCAGATTACTGGGAAACTAAACTGCATTTCTGATGACAATCTTACTTCTGCATTTTGTTTGACTGCTCTTTGTATCATTTCATAGCACTAGCATTAATACGAATAACAACTTTTGACAATGATTTAATTTGATTTAACTTTGAAGAGTCTATACATAACTTGTAAAGTGCATATATATTTTTGATGCCCTTTGAAAAAGGATAGGGGGCTAAAAAATTTCAAACAAAGCTGTTACTTAACCCGTTCGGTACGGGCATGTCATGTGCATCAGCAGTGAACATTACCTCATGGCCGGGTGTGTCATATTTGAATTGCCATTTAATTCACTCTACCGGGCAGGCATGCCACATTTGACTTTTTAAATAGAACATTTAATTAATATTTTTTGTTGCCACTAGTTGTAGCTGTATGCCTGTTATGGGGAAATATACTGAAAGTTAAGTATGTTTACCTTCATTCCTGTGCAATAATTTTTATTTTTTGTATTTTGTTTCGGAATGAGAGTGAGATTCATGGGTGGATTATTGAGCAGTGCAATGTCTCTTTAACTACATCATTTGATATAAACAAATGCACGTGTTCTCGCTGCATTGAGGTACCTTTTTTATTTTTGCGATATACTGGGATAGACGTTCTATCATTAGAGGTTTTTTTTATTGCTCTAATTTTCCTTTTTTTTTATTACTCTTAGATTTTTCGTGCTTTGAGATGAATATTTTTAAACATCTTTTTTTAATGGCAAACGAAAGCAGTATCTAAACGCAGACTATACACAATCGCTAATTCTTTAGTGTTGAGTAATGTAATGGCTCTTACTGCATCATTTTATATACACAAATGAACATATTCTCGATGCTCTGGAATACTTTAAATTTAATTTATTAATTTATCTTATTTTTATTTTATTTTTTAATCGGTTATAGTGGAGTAGATGTTCTATCATTAGAGACTTTTTTATTACTCTTCGAGTTTTATCGCATTGAGAAGAATATTTTGTATCACTCAGCAAAAGTTTTTTTTTTTTTTTTTTTTTTTTTTTTTTTTTAATGGCAAAACGAAAGCATTATCTGACTGTAGAACATATACAAATGCTAAATGAGCCAAATTTGCTCAGTAAAATAGCAGCAGATATTATATTCCTGTGACTAATGCAACGCTAGACTTTGCGTACACCTATGTTTCAAAGAATATACACTGTCTCATTTTGAAACATTGCTTACTTTTCGTTGTTTGCTCGTTGAATTTTTATGAAAGACAGTTTTAATATTTTTAAATTTTAATTGTGTGTTGTGTTAAATAAAATCTGCAATTGTTTGGATATTTTTCTATATATATTTATTTGTGGGATAAGGAGAAAATTATATTATTCTAGAATGAGTATTTTATAAAATTTTTAAGGAAAATATAATAATAAAGGCTTAAAATTAATTCTGACGACTACCTGAATGTTCTGCTCATAATGTACCCAAAATTGGAAAAATTGGATGACAAATTTCATTTATACGAATTTTTTTTTCCAAAGTTAGGCTTAGCAGCGTAAATTGCCCGTCCCCACAGTACAACGCATCCGGTTAACGCACCGTCCCAAGAGAACGCTTTGGTAACAGAGGTGCCCATCGCGAACTGGTTAAAAGTTCAAAAACATTGCTTTAGTGTAATCCTCAAAGCATACAATTGGAAAAATAAAATATATAACAGATAACGCACAGTTGCAAGAAAATGCAAAACCATAAAATCATACCTTCCATCAGAGCACTGCTTAAGCAATGAAACAACAGTCTGAATTGCAATGTCTAGAGCTATTCCACACATTTATGTTCAGTCACAGGATTTGAGTGGGAAGACAAAATTGAGTATTTTGAGAGTGATGGTTTTAGGTCACTGAAAGTACAGATCTGGAGGCATGGTAGTAAATAAAACCAGCCGGAATAAATTTAATGAAATTTTAGCACGAAGGAGGCAAAAATTCCTCACACAAATCTGCAAAAGTCATATATACTCAGCACAATTTTAAACAAGCATTAAACTTACTTCACATAATGCTTCAAAGAAAGCATTTTTGTCCTCAACACTCCATAGCTCCCATGGTCTTCGTGTCTTGGATCCAATAGAAGCAGCTGCTGGTTTTGTAGCAACTAGGAAAAATTATTTTTGGATCATTTTCCTAAATGCAACATCCAAAAAGTAATGTGTGGTATATAAAAGATAAACAAACAAAAAAAAAAAAAAAGTTTCATGTAATACAGAAGAGAAACAATTTTTCAAACATGTCAATTATGCTACATCAATGCTTTTCAAATAGTTTTTATTAAAGCCACATTTTACTCAACATCCAAAATCGTTAGACAACTCTGAATCATTACTATTACATTAACATTCACATATTAATACAATGCTTGTGCTTGGTGAATTCCTAGCATTTTGTCAAGGCTTTGGTATTATGGTTCACAAATCACTACACAAGTGTGCAAATTACATTCAAGGTATTTTCTGTATCATTTTTACTACTATCATTGTAGAAAACCCTGATCCTCACATACCCGATTTTACTGATCTAGTGGTATTGTGTAACACTGATAATACACAAAAATCCAAACAGATGGTAGCGGAAACCCTAAAAATGTTATCCTCTTAGAATGACTTGGAACAGTTTTACCCTTTCCAAACGGCATAAACTCAGGAGAATTCTGTTTATCCAAATTAAAAAAAGCTTACCCATTCTGGATTACAATTTTTTTTTTAATAAACCATTAAAATTATTTTCAGAAGCTAAAAGTAGAAATAACTTACCTGTAAGTATATATTCCATAGATACTTGTGTTTAGTTATTTAAAATTGCAACTAAACTGAATGCTTACAAGTAATTATAACATACAACTGCTTAATGAGCAGTACATCAGCTGACAGATTACAGCTACTTTAAATTCTCTCACAACAGGCTATACTATTGTTAAGGCCTTAAATTTCTACCAGACTGTGTTTTTGATACATGCAAACGTGTGCAGGATTTTACGCTCTGATACTTTCCACTGCATAAAAAAATAAGTGAAATTCACATAAATCTGTTTAATTATATTATACCTGTGGTCTACTAGAAATAGGAAAACTGAAAATTTACATATGTTGTCCCTTACAGTATGTTGTGTACTACATGGTCTATTCTGAAATTTCCCTCTCCTCATAATTACTAGAATTCTGAAGACTTACTTCACTTTATAACTGCACATTAATAAAAATAATGCAGATAAATAAAGGACAATCAAATTAGTTCAGATAAAAGAAAATATAATTTTACACCAGAACTAAGAAAAAAATGTGTAGGATAAACAACAGATGCATGATGAATTAAATACAAAATTTCACTATTTAAAATGGATAACAGAACGCAAAAACATAGCATGTAAACCTGGAACTTCTGTTTCTGAGGCAAACAAAGGCATTCCTAATTTAAAAGCTCAAGCTTATATGCAAAGTGAGAAACATGAGAATTGAGTTTTTTTTTCTTCTTTAGGCATTAAAATATTCATAAATCAACAAATTGTAAAATTCATCTTGTTAATATAATCTCTGCCAATCACACTGGTGCATTGTGTCAGGTGATGTCTCAGGTGCCAGAAAAGCTGTGCCTCATTGTTTATTCTTCCAGCTCAATAGCCATTATGATTCAGATAATACACAAATAATATATTAAATATATGGAGTGTAATAACATCATTGTAACTAAGTTGTAATTAATTCATTTGAAAGATGTATGTTTGAGATACAGTTTCATGCAAAAATTATATACTATTTTTCTTATTTTAAATCATTTTTAAATGCCATACACCAGCACATAATGTAGCATTGGGGAAGTAATTTTACCACTAGTGCCAATCACACACTAGCAAAATCTTATTTCTAATAAGTAAGTTGGCATATGGTTGCCAAATGCCAGGGCAATAACTATCAATACAACCAGCAGAAAAAGTGTTAGGGAATATATTTTCTGACTTCTAAAGCTGCTTGAATATTTTTTTTAATGTTAGAGCTCCTTCCTCCACCAAAAAGTTATTGTTAATACTGCATTTGCATCTCATTTTTCCCTTTAAAGCACATCAGCAAAATAATACTGTATGCAGAAGAATTGCTTCAGACACAAGCACTCAAGAAACAGTAAAAATATTTCAAATAATTCAACAATTCACCTAGAAAAACAATAGATTGCAGTTAAAGTTAATCAAAGGGCAAAAACATACATGGAGAAGACAGACTTTATTATAAATAAAAGAAACTTGAAAATGCATTTGACTACAAGAGCACTGCATTTATGGGTGCTTATTCTAAGATCAACTTCGAAGGACTCTGCTAAACCACATATTTGAAAAGTTAAAAATATTGTTGAAAAGTAGTTCCTTAATTTAAATAATTGTAGTTACACTGCTGAAAGAGAGGGGGAAACAAACTGAAAATACTACTATTTAAACATGAAAATATTTTTACGCCGGTACTGAGGAATTGAAAAGTAAGAACATAGGCAAATGGTTCTCTCATATTACAAGGCGGTTTTGTTTGCTTACATATGTTTCCAGCTTTTAATTCTATTTTTTCTTCAGAAAAAATATGAATCTAGAAAGATCTAGCTTGATGTACACTTTTTAGTAAATAATTTGATAAAATCTGTCTCCCTTATGAGTGTATTCCAATTATACATTCTGTATATAGAATATAAAAAGAACTCTGTTGTAAATATTCTGAACAATCTGTTCCCCATAAAACAGTTTAACTGAATGTATGATTTGAAATTTTTTGTTCTCTACAAGTTAATTTCAAAACACACCAAAGGAGTTGATCAAGAGGATGATGATTTCTATGAAGAACTGTGAGGAGCTTGTACAGTCACTACTTGAAATATTTCAACCATTCATTTGGAATACTTGACTAATAATGTTTGCTTATGCAAATCATGGATGCATCCTTTAAGTGAATTTCAGGTAATGCAGAAATTGATGAATTACTCTTTGCATATCTTAAACAAGTTATACACTTGGACAATAGAGATCTTATAATTTTTTTCTTATTTAAAATCCAAAAATGTTCTCTTAGAATACCCAACAACATTTGAAAGCCAGCATGAAAGTCTGGTGTTCTGTCATTAACCTTTCAAAGCTTGATGCTCTCCCGGTAAAACAGACGTCTAAAGTTCTCTAAAGCCTTCTGAAATGTAATTTTTTCCATCTAGTAATTCTGTCCTTGTCCTTACATGCTGTCAAAGATTCTAATTTTCTTTTGTGTAAATGATCAGAAAAAATATTTGTTCCATATTAAAACAATATGACCTTTTTTGCATCTTTGACTTCTTTGTAGGATAATTCTCCAATAATTTGCGAAGACTGCATTTAGACAAAAATAAATCTTTCATCCAAACAATCAACCATATCACTTTTTCATAGCTTGAAAAATAATAATAATATCAACTTAATTCATAATGTCGGCATTCATTATTTTTCTTTCCCTAGTTGTGCAGCTATGAGTATTTGAGTAACTTAGAGAACAGACAGAAAAATGGCCATCAGATTTTATTTTCCACTTTTCCTTGGCAACCAAATATTTATCAAAATTTTGTTCAGTGATAGGCAACTTAGAGGAAGGTTCTAATAACCAAGTGAGTTCCTCCTACCATTTACTTGATAAAAGTTGTTTAGCGGAACATCCCCAAGAAGGCAAACCTTCTGGATTCCAGGAAGGTGTGTCGATGTAAGATTATCTGTTAAACTAGGTATTTTACTTAACTCTGTTGTTCTCAAATACCATCCAAAATCTTTACACTGAATCTGCTCCTAAAATAGCCATGGAATCGGTCTACTAATGTTGTTCAGCATCTTTCTACTGAAGCCATTCTTTAATGGGTGTGCACAATCAAGCTCTTATAATGGCAGCCACAGCTCCAATCCAAGAATAGTACAGAACGTTTTACAGAAGCCACTCTAACTTTGGTCACTAGGACATGAACTTGGAAATTCTCAGAGGTTTCCACATGAACGAAAACAGAACAGCTACTGCAAACATTGAATGACTAGTGTCACAAAACGTAAGCAATGTTTTGTCTGCTTCAATCAATGAGGAAACGCAATGATATGGTCACTGCCTTCAAAATACGGATGTCTTAATTTTTCGAAAACCATCTCATAAGTTCTTTTATTGTACTAGCATCAAATTCAGAGTCCCAAGATATGTTTTCTTTCCACATCCTTCGTAACAATTTGAGTATCAGCAAAACAGGACATAATAAATCAACAGTCATAACGAATACTGTCTAATCAGTCCGGGTTTATCACCAGCATACCTTTTTTTTTTTTTTTTTTTTTTTTTTTTTTTAATCCCACAAAATTCTTAACACAGAAGTAAATGGCTGAGGACCATTATCATTGGTGTACTGCCAACCTCTCAAACTGAATTTTCCTTCACACAGTATGACTTAAGACATCTATAATGAAAGGGATATATATCACACGTATCATTTGCACACATTACTAAATTATCAATGTAGAATTAAGAATATATTATTCATTCAAATATATTCAAATGAATATACTTTGACCGTCTCAAATGCAGCTTTGGCTGTCATTGTGATAAAAGAGAATCATTTAAAAGGGGCGTTATTACTTGTTGTAATGTGAAAGGTCAAGTGAAAGTCTTCTTTTCTCCGGAAAGAGAATTTATATGCTCAAGGTAAAAAAAAAGATCCCCATCCTTCCACCCTATTTTGAGAATAATTTGGTTCGAATAGTGCATGCGTGCTTACACTCATAGTCGCAGATGAGGCGGTCAAACTATATCTAATAATGATGAAATCTAATAATAATGAATTCTAATGAATATCTAATCTTATTCTAATTAACATATTCATTAGAATAAGTTTATTAGCTTCCCTACATTCTATTTTTATCTTCAGAATTCCAAACAAATGTCTCTAGTGTCCCGCCGAGGGTACCAGAAAATGTTCACTTACGTGTCAAAATAAAATATTAAACTACCAGGATATTACAGACTAACATATTCTAAACTTTTATTGTTGCAAATATATTTGGATCTTAAATAAATACATCACTCGTGTACACAAAATACTCCTTCAATAAGCCTACTTACTATACACACA